TTGTGGGCTAATTTCCCAGTGTTGGGTATGTAAGAATTAGCTGATCAATGATTCTCTCTCATCATTGATGCTTTTATCTCTACCTCTCCCTTCTTCTCTGAAATCAATAAAAAATATTTTTTTAAATCAAATGAAAATAGAAAGTGTTCAACAAATGCTCTGTAATTATGTGTAAGGGTACAGGCGTCCTCAAACTTGTTAAAGTGGGGGCCAGATCACGGTCCCTCAGAGAGCTGGAGGGCCGGACTATATGAACTACTAATTCCTACTATAACACCTCGGCTGCGCTCACTGCCCAAAAAACCTGGCGGGCCGGGTCAGACTCCTCTGCGGGCCGCATGTGGCCCGCAGGCCGTAGTTTGAAGACCCCTGGATTAGAGGGAATTATACATGCAAAGTATCAAACATAGTATTTAGCTCATTCTAAGTACCTGATAAAATTCTAATTTCCTTATCCTGTATATAATGCTATGACCTCCTAAGCAGTAATCTTTTTTCCCCTCAGTTGATTTTTAGAGAAAGAGAAAGGGAGAGGGAGAGACATAATGTCAGAGCACAAAATCGATTGGCTGCTTCCTGCCCACAACCTAGGCATGTGCCCTGACTGGGAATTGAACCGGTAACCCTCAGGTATACAGGATGATGCCCAACTAACTGAGCCACACAAGCCCTTGACCGGAATCCTTCAGTCCACAGGCCAAATGTCCACTGAGCCAAACTGGCTAGGGCTTTTTAAACATTTGCATTTTAATTAGATGTGTCTTGGTGTGGGCCTCTTTGGATTCATTTTGTTTGGGACTCTCTGCGCTTCTTGGACTTGTATGTCTATTTCCTTTACCAAGTTTGGGAAGTTTTCTGTCATTTTTTCAAATAGGTTTTCAGTTTCTTTCTCTCTTCTATTCTGGCACCTCCATGATATGAAATGTTGGTAAATGTGAAGTTGTCCCAGAAGTTCTTTACACTATCCTCACTTTTTTTTTTTTTAATTTTATTTTCAATTACAATTGACATACATTATTAGTATCAAGTGTACACCCTTGGTATAACATTATATAACTTACTAAATGATCATCTTGATAAATCTTGAATCCATCTACAATAATACCATGCAGTCATTAAAATATTGACTGTATTCCCTATGCCTATTCTGTAATAACTGATTTGTACTTTAAAAAAATATATATATTTTATTGATTTCCCACAGAGAGGAAAGGAGAAGGATAGAGAGCTAGAAACATCGATGAGAGAGAATCATCGATCAGCTGCCTCTTGCACACCGCACACTGGGGATGTGCCCACAACCAAGGTACATGCCCCTGACCAGAATCGAACCCGGGACCCAGTCCGCAGGCCGACGCTAAATCCATTGAGCCAAACCGGTTTCAGCTGATTTGTACTTCTTAATCCCTTTACCTTTTTCATTCATTCTCCCAACCCACCAACCATCTGGCAACTATCAAAATGATCTATGTTATCTATGAGTCTGTTTCTGTTGTTTTGATTTTTAGATTCAATTGTTTACATATAATATGTATATATATTGCTATTTTATTTTTCATATTATTTATTTCTTTTCTTTTTTTTTCTTTTTCTTTTTTCTTTAAATATATTTTATTGATTTTGTACAGAGAGGAAGGGAGAGAGATAGTCAGAAACATCGATGAGAGTCATCGATCAGCTGCCTCTTGCACACCCCCTACTGGGGATATGCCCGCAGCCAAGGTACATGCCCTTGACGAATCGAACCCGGGACCTTTCAGTCCCCAAGCCGACGCTCTATCCATTGAGCCAAACCGGTCCTGGCTATTTTCTTTTCTTAAAGAAGGCCCATGAGCATTTCATATAACACTGGTTTGATGGTGATTAACTCCTTTAGCTTTTTCTTGTCTAGGAAGCTTTATCTGTCCTTCGTTCCTAAATGATAGCTTTGCTAGATAGAGTAATCTTGGTTGTAGGTTCTTGCTTTTCATCACTTCGAATATTTCTTGCCAAGCCCTTTTGGCCTGCAAAGTTTCTGTAGAGAAATTAGCTGACAGTCTTATGGGAACTCTTTGTAGGTAACTTTTTCTCTTGCTGCTTTTAAGATTCTCTTTTTGTCTTTAAACTTTTGTTATATATTGTTATATATATATATTTAAAATCCTCATCTGATTATATTTTTCCATTGATTTTTAGAGAGTGGGAGAGAGAGGGAAAGACAGAGAAAAATATCGATGTGAGATCAACACACCGATTGGTTGCTTCCTGCACGAGCCCTGACCAGGGTGCAGGCTGGATAGGAGCCTGCAACTGAGGTACGTGCCCTTGACCGGAATCCTTCAGTCCACAGGCCAAATGTCCACTGAGCCAAACTGGCTAGGGCTTTTTAAACATTTGCATTTTAATTAGATGTGTCTTGGTGTGGGCCTCTTTGGATTCATTTTGTTTGGGACTCTCTGCGCTTCTTGGACTTGTATGTCTATTTCCTTTACCAAGTTTGGGAAGTTTTCTGTCATTTTTTCAAATAGGTTTTCAGTTTCTTTCTCTCTTCTATTCTGGCACCTCCATGATATGAAATGTTGGTAAATGTGAAGTTGTCCCAGAAGTTCTTTACACTATCCTCATTTTTTTAAAATTCTTTTTTCTCTTTGCTGTTCTGATTGGGTGTTTTTTGCTTCATTATTTTCCTAATTGTGGATTTTCTTTGCTTCTACTACTCTACAGTTGATTCCCTGTAAGTTATTGCTCAGTTAGTATATTCCTCATTTCTGACTGGTCCTTTTTTATGCTGTTGAGGTTCTCACTAAGTTCATAGAGCATCCTTATAACCAATGTTTTGAACTCTGAATCTGGTAGATTGCCTCCGTTTTGTTTAGTTCTTTTTCTGGAGTTTTGTGTTCTTTCATTTGGGACATGTTTCTTTGTCTCTGCATTTTGGCAGCTTCCCTGTGTTTGTTTTATGTATTAGGTAGGGCTGCTATCTCTCCCAGACTTGGTAGAATGGCCTAATGCAGTAGGTGTTCTGCAGGGCCCAGTGGCACAGCCTCCCTGATCGCCCAAGCTGGCTACTCAGGATGTGCCTGCCATGTGGGCTGTGTACATCCTCCTCTTCTAATTGAGCCTTGATTGCTATTGGCATGTCAATGGGAGATATTTACCCTCAGGCTGATCAGCTACAAGGACTGGCTGTGACCACTGACCACCAACTTCCAACCACTATGGAGGATCAGCTTTGCAGGGTCCCACCCCATAGAGCACGCCTTACTTCAGCAGGGCTCTGGTGCTTGATTGAGTGTGTTGCTTGTGGAGATGGTTGGGAGTAGTGTTTTGACATTTTCTGAAGCTGACCATCCAGTACTCTGGCTCTGGGGCCTCCCAGGACATGTAGGCCAAGGTCAGCCACTGCCTATGTTCTGCCTGGGACCACCTGGCATGAGTACAAAGCAATCTGCAGATTGCTGCTACTTGTGCTGTGCTTAGAGGTGCTCAGGCAATGTCAAGAACTGAGGCTGGGTGCTGCTAGTGCCAGGCCTGGGGCCACCTAACAAGAGGTACAGGGTTCACTGAGGCCAGATGCTGCTTATTTGAGAGATTTTGGGAAAATCTGAAGCATGAGCCAAGATAGACTATTCAAATGGAAAGGCACTGGAAACAGCTTGGGTGGGCCCAAAAGTTGGGTGGGGCTAGGCCTCAAGGAACCATCTAGGTGGGACAAACTGTGAGCCAAGGTGATGGATTCTCAGATTTGGTGCCCTCCTGCTGGCTCTATTGGGGGAGGGCTCATCAAAGAAATAATGGCCTCTGGCAGCACTTCTATCTGGGAGAAAGCTGCCTCCCAGATCTTGGTCTGATGCTGGACAATTCAGTTCCTCCCCATAAGTTTCTGGTGCCTATCAAGCTGCTATCCCAGCTCTGGAGCTTAGAGAGAGTGAGTCTGAGTTAGTCTGTGCCCAAGCCCTTTGAGAGGAACTGCCTGGGACTCTAATAACCTCCATCTCCCTGAGCCTCAATCCTTACTGGTTTTTACAGCCAGAAGTTATGGTGACTTTTGTTCCTGGCACTGGAATCCTGGTCTGGGAGGCCTGGTGTGAGGCTGGGACCCCTCACTCCACCGGGGGACCTCTGCAACTGAGATATCCTTCTGATTATCTGTCATTGTTGGTGAGAGACTAGCCTTTTCCCTGTCTCTGTCCCACTTACCAGTATCCCTGTGGCTTCTTTTTTAATTCCCTAATTGTCAGACTTCCATTCAGCTCGATTTCAGGCATTTCTAAATGATGGTTCTGTAGTTTAGTTGTAATTTTTATGTGGTTGTGGGAGGAGGTGAGTACTATCTTTACCTATGCCACCATCTTGACCAGAATTCAGTAGTAGTCTTATCTCTACCTGCCTGCTCCAGTTATACTCCCTGAAACACTGTTATTGGATTATTACTCGCTAAGTACAAGTTAAATTATATAATTTTTGTTCAATTTAATTCATTCACCCAGAGTCCACTGTTAAAGTTGTCATATATTCTTCTGATCTTTATTTTTTCTGTGCATTTAAAAAACAATTTTGAATCAGATTATATATACATTTTTATATCTTGCCTTTTATTTTATTTTAAATTTATTTTTTTAAATATATTTTTATTGGTTTCAGAGAGGCAGGGACAGGGAGAGAGAGATAGAAACATCAGTGATGAGATAGAATCATTAATTGGTTGTCTCCGCACTGGGGATCCAGCCCGCAGTCTTGGCATATGCCCTGACTGGGAATCGAATGGTGACCTCCTAGGTCATAGGTTGATGCTCAACCACTGAGCCAAACTGGCTGGGCTATATCTTGCCTTTTTATTTAACCTTATGACAAAAATATTTTTTTAATATTAGAAACTCTTTGTAAACGTCTTTTATAGTACTGGCAGAATATTTTACTGTTTGGAAACATACCCTTTTTTATCTTTCTTTTGTTATTGGACTTTGAGATTTTCCAGAATTTTTGGACTTTTAAAATTTCCAGATTTTTTTTTTTTTTGGTCTTGTTTGCAGTATCATACATGATCATCAAACTGCTACTAGAATGTTCAAACCCGTTGCTGCAAATTCAAAACCCAAAAAAAACTTCTCCTGGGAATTTACTTTAGTCAGGGTAGGGCTGCCTGGTTCGAGACTGCACTCACAACAGGAGCCTTTCCCCAGACCATTCAGAATTCTAAGAACTCTATGAATATTTTTGTGCACAAAATTTTGCCTACATTTAGGGTTATTTTCTTAGGATAGATTTCCCAGAAATATAATTACTGGTTGGAGGGTACTAGCATTTATTTATTGTCTATTAATTATAAAATTGATTCTCATTGATTATAGCAAACTTGGAAAATATTTTCAAAGGTTGTATAAAATATGCCACTCACATATTTGGTACTTCCAGAATCCAGAAATGACTACAGTTACATTTTCTTTTAGTTTTTCTTTCTATGTACACATATAGCTTATCTACATTTAATATAACTGAGATCTTAGCAAATGGCTGTATTTCCCAAAATATGATCCTCAGAACACTTACTAGTTCTGTGAAATGTGCTACAAAATAAATAACTGAAATAATAAGATTCCAGAGGTCAAATACATTTGGGAATCACTACAAACCATATTCCCATCTTGAATATTCACATGAATAAGAACATAATTCAGGTCTCTCTCTCCCTCTCCCTCTCCCTCTCCCTCTCCCTCTCCCTCTCTCCCTCTCCCTCTCTCCTTCTCTCCCTCTCTCTCTTTCTCTCCTGCTCCCTCTCTCACACTGAACCCTGAAGGGCACCTTTCTTCCTCTTCTTCTCCCAAGTGAGTTTTCTTTGCCTTTCTTTCTCCTAAGCTCCAAGGGGGCCCTTCTTTTGCCTCTGTAACTTATTTCTTCCACAGCTCATTTTATCTATCCCCTTGACTTTCTAAATAATCTTTTGCTTGTATTTGAGTGGGGAGAGAACATTAACTCACAAGTTTTGCTGATAAAAAGAAAAACAAGTATTTTTTCTATGTTTAACTCAGAATTCCCCAAACTTGTTTAACAATTTTTTTAGGTAACCCTTGTTAATGTCTTATGGAAGTAGTGTTTAATATAACAAAAGTTTTGGGAATGCTGAAAAATGGTAGGATTATCTTGCTATGCTAGCCAAATTGCTTTCTAACGTTTTTTTTGTTTGTTTGTTTTTTTGTTTTGTTTTGTTTTGTTTTTATCACTGATGATATATGAATATGCTGGTTTTACCACTTCTTTGACTGCATTTGTATTCTCATCTTTAAAAATCCTATTTCTTTGAAATACTTTGGAACCCACAGCATAGGTTTGAATTTTGATTTCGTAACTTTGGGCAAGTTATTAAATTTCTCATAACCTGCCAAAACCAGTTTGGCTCAGTGGATAGAGCGTCGGCCTGTGGACCAAAAGGTCCTAGGTTCAATTCCGGTCAAGGGCATGTGCCTTGGTTGCAGGCACATCCCCAGTGCAGGGTGTGCAAGAGGCAGCTGATCGATGATTCTCTCTCATCAATGTTTCTATCTATCCCTCTCCCTTCCTCTCTGTAAAAAAAATAAAAAAATATATATTTTAAAAAATTTCTCATAATCTGTGAAACTGGAATAATCATTCATAAAGTCATGAAAATGAAATAATGCATACAAGCACTGTCCTTGGCATGAAGCAAGCACTCAATAAAGGTTGGTTGACTACAAAACTACCTTTTATTGAGTTTATTTAGAATTGACTATAAAATTTTCATATGGATAATTCAGTCTTAAACTCACTACTGAATTAAACCACTTTTCAATATAGTATCACATGCTGCATTTCTGCCTATACCCTCCAATGAGACGGGGCTATCTAGTATAAGACAGATATAATAGTAGTGTGCAGATGTGTAAACTTTGACATCAGAACTGAGTTCAGATTGCAGGTACCCGCTGCCTTTGTGATCTTGGACATATCATTTAACAACTTTGTTTCCTCTGCTTAGAGGGTAATACCTGGCCATTGTCTAGATTTAATAAGGTAATGTGGTTGAAGTTCTTGTACCTACTTATTGAAGTAGCTATTTATCCTATATAATCCTATATAATAAAAGCTTAATATGCTGTGTTCGACTGATAGGTCCACTACTCGACCAGCCACTATGATGTGCACTGACCACCAGGGGGCAGACCCTCCGACCGGTAGGTTAGCTTGCTGCTGGGGTCTGGCTGATCTGGAATGGGTGAGAGGGCTGGACACATACTGGAGCCCTCACATGGTCCCTCCAGCTGGCAGACCAACCTCCTGCAGTCCCTCCCTGGCTGGCTGGCCCCCATTGACCATGATTGGGACTGGCAAGATGGCCCCAGTTAGCCCAGGTCACCGGCCAAGGGACCCCACCCGTGCACAAATTCATGCATCGGGCCTCTAGTTAATTAATAAATGTTCTTTCCTAATTCTTCTTAACATACTGTGACTTTTTCATTGCTGTGATTTTGCTTGTTATTCCTCTTAGAATGCCCTTTCCCTTTTCTCTGCCAGCAGAAATAATGAGCCACTGATTTGTTATTATTATTACTACTCCCTGGTTTTTAGGGTCAAGGTTGTCATGATTTATCCCTGGCCATGTAGCTCAGTTGGTTAAAGCATGTCTCCTTATGCCAAGGTTGTGGGTACCATCTCCAGTCAGGGCACATGCAAGAATAACCAGTGAATGCATCAATAAGTAGAACAACAAATTTATCTCTTTTTTTCTCTCTCTAAAATCAATTTTTCATGATTTTGTGTCACCTTCCACCATGAAACGGTGTAATAATTTATTCTCTTGAAATCTCTTATCAGCCTGTATCAGTGTCTCTTAGGGTACTTAAGACATTTATATTTTTGTCTTATTACTTGTTTGCCTAACTCACCTACTCTCCTTACTTAAACTATACATTTTGTGAAAGTGGGACCGTTTTTACTTAATCCCTGTAGCACTTTGTATAGTGCTTTTCTTCTAGGAGGCTTTTAATAATTTACTGGAGGCCTGATGCATGAAATTTGTGCAAGGGCCTTGGCCCCACCCTCACCCACTGCCACCGTGGCCAGGGGCCCCTGCCCGCTGTGGCTTTGTCTGGAAGGAAGGGCATCCAGAAGGATGTCTGGTCTAATTAGCATATTATGCTTTTATTTTTATAGATTGCATTTAATTAATTTGTAGTCTGACTTCTGACCACTGCTTTTCTGAGACAATATTCTTGGAAATAACTAAAGATTTCCAAATTGGCAAAATCTTTTCCTTAATCTCTCTTCAGTATTTAATACTGTTAATACCTGCCCTTACTTAAAACTCTTTTGGCCAAAACCGGTTTGGCTCAATGAATAGAGCGTTGGCTTGGGAACTGAAAGGTCCCGGGTTCGATTCCGGTCAAGGGCATGTACCTTGCTTGCAGGCATATCCCCAGTAGGGGGTGCGCAGGAGGCAGCAGATCGATGACTCTCTCTCATCAATGTTTCTAACTCTCTCTCTCTTCCTCTCTGTACAAAATCAATAAAATGTATTTTTTTAAAAACAAAAAACACTTTTGGTCTCCATGGCATAGCACTGTGCTGGTTTTTCTTTCCTAGAATCATTTTCTCTTGTTGTCGACACCTTTTCTTCCTTGAGAAATATGAGCATGACCATTTTTTCCAGGTCATTCATCCAAATTGGATCTTAGTATATTTTTTCTGTATTAGAAACCTGGGTCTTATCATTTTTTTGGGGGGGGGGAGGGAGGGTCTTATCATTTTGACCCTGAGATCATCCTCAACGTCAGATCTGTGACCCAAATCTCCTTTCTTTTTTTTAAATATATATTTTATTGATTTTTTACAGAGAGGAAGGAAGAGGGATAGAGAGTTAGAAACGTCGATGAGAGAGAATCATCAACCAGCTGCCTCTTGCACACCCCCTACTGGGGATGTGTCCGGAACCACGGTACATGCCCTTGACCAGAATCGAACCTGGGACCTTTCAGTCTGCAGGCCGATGCTCTATCCATTGAGCCAAACCGGTTTCGGCGCAAATCTCCTTTCTTACTTGAAGCAGGTCCTAAGGATTCACTACACCTTGAATAGTCACTTTCACCTAACTGCTTAGAGTTCTCCCACATCTTTCTGTGTTTTTTCTCCACTATCCTCCTGCCATCACTGAAAACTTTTGGGCCCTTTCAGTTTAAGGAAACAATCTGAGGATTACAAAACAGCAAATGTCAGGAAATAACAAAGCTTACAAAATTGTTATAGTAGCAGTCTCTAATCTGTAATTTCTGGAAAATCCTGAAAAAAACTTTGTTTTTTATTTCCAGGGGTAAAAACCTCTTCCTTCTTTTTTTTTCTTTTTCTTTTTTTAAAATATATTTTATTGATTTTTTTACAGAGAAGAAGGGAGAGAGATAGAGAGCTAGAAACGTCGATGAGAGAGAAAAATCGACCAGCTGCCTCTTGCACACCCCCCACCGGGGATGTGCCTGCAACCAACGTACATGCCCCTGACCGGAATCGAACCTGGGACCTTTCAGTCGCAGACCAGTGCTCTACCCCTGAGCCAAACTGGTTTCGGCTCTCTTCCTTCTTTTTGACTTTACCTTTGGATACCATTAAGATAGAGAATGAAGCCAATATAACATAAAATAAATGCTCCTTTGTGATAATAGGCTGTTTGTATCTCTGGGGCATTCCAGTTAGGGTGGCCATTCAAAAAGTTTCTGCCCTATCTATCTATATATTATTGTTGACAGTATTATAGATGTCCCCCAATTTTCCCTCCCTTTGCTCCCTTCCTTCCAGTCCCTGCCCCACCCCAGGCCTTCACCACACTATTGTCTATGTTCATTGGCTATGCATATTCTATATAATAAAAGCCTAATATGCTAAGTGTCTGACTGTTCATTCGACCAGTCGCTATGATGCGCACTGACCACCAGGGGGAGATGCTCCAACCGGTAGGTTAGCCTGCTGCTGGGGTCTGGCCCATTGGGACTGGGCGAGATGAGCAGGACATGTCCTAGAGCCCTTTTGAGGTCCCTCCCCACCAGCCAACCTCCCACAATCCCTCCCCCACTAGCCCGATCCATCCTGATTGAAACTGGGCAAGATGGTCTGGACTCACCTTGGAGGCACTCTCCTGAGGTCCTTCCGTGGCCTCTGAAATATTTCTTCTAATTTATTTCCTTT